GCTGTGGGGACCCATTTTCAATTGCTGCTCCAGGCCTGCAGCACTTCCTTTAAACAGTCAGCATGACCTTCGTCTCACTTGGGTTTAATTTCAACCCATGCCTACACCAGCTCTGGTTCGCTGCAGTGCTCTGCTGAGGAGGGAAAGGGGCACTAGCAGGTGAGGGACGGGGAAGGAGCTCACCACTAGCTCTCCCCTCCCCACCCCCCAGCCAGCAGGTTAGCCCTGAAAAATCTGAATTTCAGAACTAGCCCTGCCCAAGCTCTGTAGACAGAAACTGGGAGCTGGAGGGAGAGAGAGCAAGGCAGGAGCACGAGACTAACTTTGCAATTAAAGCATCCAATACTGCCGTTTTATTATTTTGATATTGTTTGGTATCACTTGTATAATGACAGTACTAAACTGTATTGGGTTATCAACCACGTCGCTGTCCTCCCTGTGTCAGCTCATCAAGAGATGGACTTTTATCTCCAAGAGTTTAAAAATTAAACCCCTTGGTATTAAACGTGCTGTTAAGTAATGCTAGTAACTGCTTCCGCCCCATGAGTATGATAAAACAGATTGTTGAAGCTCAATGTCACTACTGCAGAACCCATTCTTGTGCCTCTCTTCTGCTGGACAGTTGTTGTAATTGTAATAAAATCCTCCCTTTTCAGGGCCAGGGGGTAGAATGTACGCTCCTCTGTATGCCTGGCTTGGCAGCTGGAGCCCTGCTGACTGTTTTTCTATGTGCTTAACATGTTACTTCACCTGAAGTTCTAGTCCAATTTCAGCTGGAAAAAAATCTAAATTTCAGACACTTGTAGAATTCTCCTTTTACTGATTTTTATTATTTGAATGCATTATAAGCATAAATGGACTGAATGGCTAGAACATAAAATGTGGGGAAAAACCTACAGAGACTTTAATAACTTGAAGAAGTAGTCATGACAGGTTCACCTTGTTTGAAAAAACAGCTTCGCTTACTGCTTCAGTACATTGGTTATCCCTGAGGGTCAGCTGGGAGATTGGTTTTTCTTGCCGTGTGTAACTGATTGAATAAGTGCAAGAAATCTTGCCAAGAGGGTGGTGGTGCAGTTTTCCCAGGCAGGGTGAGATCAGAAGTATTGGCCAGGTGGGGTGGCTAATGGTTTTTGTAGAACAGTTTTTATACGTCAAGTCTTATCTAGCCATCTCCTCCATGGCGATTGATAGCAACATAGAATGTTTTTCAGAGTAACTTCCTCCACAGACTCTACGTATGACTTGTCAGCTTGTGGCCATAGAGAACATACTGGCAAATGTGAGTGTTTTATATAATGAACT